GTTCAGAGCACTCCAAAACCTAGGAATCAATTCCTGGATCGTCGAAATCCACCTCCAAATCCTCGATCAGAAGACAAATTTATCTACACCGTCGGATTTGATTTAATATATTTTTAACCAAACCCTCACCCAAACAGTGTTCTCGTTGCTACATTGTTTCCGCCACTACAGAACCTTCTTTTTTTTTCTTTTTCTTCATCTTGATTCTTGTAAAGTCGATCTTCAATCTCGCACGACGACGACTTCTATCTTGAAAACTAACTCCCGGATTCATAACCAAGACTTTGATACCACTTAATTGGGATTTTAGTCTTCCCGTCTACAATGATATACACAACTCGGCAGTCAACCCACAATTAACAAGATAGAAAATAACTATAATCAAGAAGAAAGAATACTGAGATTTACGTGGTTCGGTCGATCAACTTCGACCTATATCCAGTGGGCAACAATATGAGAAATCCACTATGTATCAGGGAGAACTACAAGATGAGTCACTTAACTTTTATCTCTCAATCTCTCAACCTCACATACATAATCAACTCTCATATTCTCTCTGAAACCCACTTCTTACAATCTTTCAAACGGACAAAGACTGTGAAACCCTTTCCCAATGTTGTAATCTTTTACACGGATAATGACTATGAAACCATCGCTTCTCGCACAGTATTCTTGAATCAGGCTACAACCTTTGCTAACCCTAGATTACAAGACTATTGGCTCTCTTTCCTCTCAATTTTTTTAGTTTTTCCTCCAACAATAGAAGAATATAAATAGGAAAACCAAAACTCTATCTCTAGCCTAACTTCCTAACTAGAATAGGATTCAAACTCCTAATCATGATGAAACCTAATCTCCTAGTCATGATAGATCTCTAACCCTATCTAATTCTCGTGAAGTTATAGAAAGAATCAAAGACATAATCCCAACAATCTCTATCTTGGATTTAATTCCTAAACTCCATTGAAGATATATTATCGCCGTCTTAAAACTTTACCTCTCTCCCTAGCTCTTCTATTCTTTTTGTACTTCAATCTGAAGCATCTGCACTCCTAATTGAAACACCCGTACTCTAATTTGGATGTCCTTATGACCTTCACTTTCATCTGCCTCGTCATGGTGCCTCCACCTCTCTTGTGCGCACTAAGAGATCTTCGTCATCTCTAATATTATAAGCAAATCAACAATGCTTCTCCTCCCAACAACCATGCTTCTCCTCCTAAACTGAACTTGACAGTAGCCTTCTCCCACTTACTGTTCTCGTACTCCACCTACATCACTCATCTCGAATCATACCGGTGCACCTTTCCTACTCCACACTACGAGCTGGATGGCTCAATCTCCTTAATCACTTGGCTTGGACCGAATATGAACGCTCATCATCTTCAAGTCCAATGTCACCATCTTCATCAGCATGTGTGTCACTCAGTCATGCCTTCTTGTAAGCTCCACCTAATCTGGCACTGTCCTCCTCGAGTCTACACACCAACCAACTCCTATTCTCGCGATGACTCTGAATAATTATATGTTGACAACGCTACTGTTAGAATCACGTTTGATTCTCTACGCCAGTCTCATTTGTCACATACTTGTTTACCCTATCTGCCATTAGATTTGTCTCACTATCACTGTCAGAACTTTTCTATACTTTTTGACTAATTTGAGCATAATTTGAAAAATCAGACTCTCCGATCGCGTTCAGAGCACTCCAAAACCTAGGAATCAACTCCTGGATCGTCGAAATCCACCTCCAAATCCTCGATCAGAAGACAAATTTATCTACACCGTCGGATTTGATTTAATATATTTTTAACCAAACCCTCACCCAAACAGTGTTCTCGTTGCTACATTGTTTCTGCCACTACAGAACCTTCTTTTTTTCTTTTTCTTCATCTTGATTCTTGTAAAGTCGATCTTCAATCTCGCACGACGACGACTTCTATCTTGAAAACTAACTCCCGGATTCATAACCATGACTTTGATACCACTTAATTGGGATTTTAGTCTCCCCGCCTACAATGATATACACAACTCGGCAGTCAACCCACAATCAACAAGATAGAAAATAACTACAATCAAGAAGAAAGAATACCGAGATTAACGTGGTTCGGTCAACCAACTTCGACCTACATCCACGGAGTAACAATATGAGAAATCCACTATGTATCAGGGAGAACTACAAGAGGAACCACTCAACTATCGTCTCTCAATCTCTCAACCTCACATACATAATCAACTCTCATATTCACTCCAAAACCCACTCCTTACAATCTTTTAAACGAACAAAGGCTGTGAAACTCTCTCCCAATATTGTAATCTTTTGCATGAATAAAGACTACGAAACCCTCGTCCCTCGCACAATATTCTTGAATCAGGCTACGCCATTTGCTAACTCTAGATTACAACAATATTGGTTCTCTCTCCTCTTTTTTTTTTTTGTTTTTCCTCCAACAATAGAAGAATATATATAAGGAAACCAAAATTCTATCTCTAGCCTAATTTCCTAAATAGAATAGGATTCAAACTCCTAATCATGATGAGACTCAATCTCCTAATCGTGATAGATCTCTAACCTTGTTTAATTCTCATGAAGTTATATAAAGAATCAAAAACACAACCCCTCAAACTCCTCTTTATTACCTACCCTCAAACTTGAAGAAAATAATAAATCTGCCAGTGGAACATCATAAAACTACTGTGGCACTTTTAAAAGGAACTCGAGAGCGAATATTACAGAGCTTATTTATAAAAGTTGCTATTGGAACTCTGAAATCTATTTTCGGAAGCTGTTGGCAATCCTTGAACCAAAAAAAATCCAACATTGGCAAAATATGAAAACGTGCAATCAGAATTTCTAAATTATTTAATTATTTCTCCTAATGAAATTTTCCAAACAAAGTCATTACCGGTTGTTTGTTCATGTAAAATCACATCAAACCCATACCATCCTGATAAAACAATGTATAACCATCCGCATCACATTATTTTTTTACCATCAAGTAACTTGATGAGTTCTCTTGACAATCCCTGCATAACCATTATTATGCCATGTTTTCTTATATGATTAGATTCTTAGACCCCACCCTACTTTTGGTATAGAAACGGCAGCCCTAAATAGTTCTGATGATTCTCTTATTAGTCATTCGCATCTATGTCATATCGATCTATTTCTTTTGTATCTTACAATCCTTTAAATATATCCTTTGGTGATTCAGACATGACGCATCAAGAGCTTGTTTGAGTTTCTTCACCAGTACCCATGTTGTCAATCATTGCCAACTTCTTTAAAGCAGCGAGTGATGGAGATAATGATGAAGCTCCGTGTTAGTTTCTTGTCATGTTATGGAGATCAAAATATTCTCTTAACACTTTAATTTCCATGACCAATGAAGGCTGAAATCCTTTGACTTGAGTTGAACTGGAATTTCGCGTGTTTTCATGGCTCACCCCAACATGCATGTAAACAGTCAAGTCGGTTCTTGGAAAAACATGCTAAAGGTTTAATTGCGGATTTGCCTCCATACTATACCCCAATTATCGCAGAGCCCCATAGTTCTAAGGTTGCAGATACTCCTCCTGTACTATTGCCCAATTATAGATAGATGCCTGAATGAATTTTTTTTATTTTGACTCTTTTACTCTGAGAAGGTCTATTCGTCAAGAAACTAGATTGTTGAGATTTTCATTTGTTTGTACATTTCTTTTTTTGAGGTGAGAGTTTTACGTTTGTGATAATTATTTTTATAGCAAATGGATACCTTGCTGCAATCGGATTGAAGGCTAGTTATGATCTTGTTGATTCATCAATGTGAATTATGTTAGAATATAAAAATATAACCCTCAAATCTCACCATAACTTTAGAGTTTTATTATAATGATTAGAGGCTCTAAGATGATACCAAATTTTGCTGGTACAAATTTAAAGCGGATTTTTAAAGAAATTGATACTTTTAGGTGAATCTAGGTTTCTGCTCATAAATAGGACTCTCAATCTGCAGAGTCATGTTAGAATATAAAAATATAACACTCAACCTTCACCACAACTCTAGAGTTTTGATCTAATGGTTAGAAACTTTAAAAGACCGTAATGACTAGTCTTTTAGCCATTTCTTGTTAGATTTTTTAGATGAGAAGAAAGCTATGGGTGTTTTCTTGAACTCTGATATGTACAGTTGTACAGTTGCTGGTTGCATTTCGCTTGCTTATCCTATTGCGAACCCAATTTGTACCTTCTTTGATGTATTGACCATGCTGATGGTTATATACCTCTTTGGCTAGCTTGGTTCCGTAGGTCGTTTACAACCTTCTGAGTCGCCCCACATTCACTTGTCATTTTGAGGACTTTTTCTTTGCAAATCTGGCTTCAGGATCATAATTAGACTCATAGGAGTAGCCCCATTGCTCACGTATATAACACCTGCGTGGAATTAAATGACTACAGTCACCCCTCATTGGCTCAATTCATGAATTCCTTCTTTAGGACTTCAAATTCTTTTATCACAAATCGTTCTTCTTTTAGCCACTCATATTTGGGACAAGTTTGGATTCGACTTTTTATACCGCGGATATTTTTAGTACCTCTAGAGATGTCTATCTTATGCGCGCATTGTTTTAATCGTCTTTAATTCCACTGGAGTGAGGTATGAAAGTATGATTATCAACATAGGAAGAGACCCACAAACCAAGCTGCAGGGTTCCTTAACAGAGGTTGAATCAAAATATGCACAAAATTTTTGACGAAGTACCTACAACTTTTATCAACCTGAAAAATACATGTTTAAGTTGCCCGTCGCCGCGATATGTTTAGCCTAATGACACACGTTATGGAGCCCTCAATTGATCTTCAAATATTCACATATGACTTGAATATTCAAAGGAATCTTTTTCAAACCCCCAATTGCAGAAGCTTTTAGTGCTTTCACAAGCATAGTTGCCCTTTCTTTTGTTCATGTCAATCTATCAAGTCTTTCCTGTCACAATTGCTTCAACAAAAGATAAAGGAACACAAAGCACAGGCTTCTGCACATTACAATCAGTAGAATGACCTTTTACAGTTGAAATATCATAAGCATGCATAATAGCTTACACCTCTTTTTCACTCCTATGTTCTCCAACTATGCAACGTAGAAAAGAACTATACTACATCAATCAGTTCCTACAACTAAATTTTGCAGTAATCACTGTCAATTTTCCTTTCACTCTGACAAAATAAACTCTTCAAAAATTCTTCATGCGGTAGCATATGACGTAATTTTGTTAAAAGCTCTTCACAATTTAAGGTGGCGTAGTTAGCAAATTATTTTTGTATGCTCCTCTCTGTTAGTCGCAAAATTTATGGTGCTCCTCTTCTGGATCAAGAATTGAGAGCAGCATCTAGATTTGAAGAAGTTCCACCGATTTCTACCAAAGGACAATGAATTAGATCATTAAGGTGTGCAAATGAGACATCATATAAAGGGAAATAAAACGTCTTAATCCCAAGGGAAGGTGTTTTTTTTGTTTTGTTATTTATTTATTTATTTAATATTTATTATTTTTTGCGGGGGGTGGGGGGGGGGGGGGCTCTACATAGGCAAAATTTTTGAACACAAATGCCTCAAGATTTTTAGTCGTATTACAATACTGCCAAAGAATACAAGTAAATAACGACCTGAACAAGAATGATCACCTGTTTCATTTGTAGATTAATAGGATCTGAAATTCTCAAGAGAGGTAGATTTTCTCCCAAAAGATTCCAACGCTTCGAGATTCCTGATTTTCCCATAAAGAAGATAAGTTATTTAGTGGAATAGAGGTTTAACATTAATTAAGTTACTAACTCATGAGTAAAAGCTTCAACAACATACAAGTGTAAAGAGGCGAAGAACTGAAGTATACAAGCTCCCAGCACGCTTATGAACTCCTGAAGCCAGTTTCCTGATGCAAATATCTTCATACAAACAATCGATAACTTACCAGTAAAAAAGCAGAATGAAAAAAAAAAGAGAATACAGTAAAAAATAATTAAAGAATAAACAATCTAATCAACCAAAAGGAAGATATCACACCTTTTCAGATGAAATTAAGCTCTGTGTACCCATGAGAGTATGGAAGTAATTCCTCCACCTCAATTCTAGTGCTCGGGCAACTCATGTTCCTAATTTTACTATGATCAATGGATTCAACTTCCGCAATAAAAATACTATAGACTGGTCTATGGTCAGATAGTTTTGATTCACCACGAACATAAGATAACTGGTTTAGGCCCCTTCCATACCATAATATCCTGTCACACCTTTAAACATGAAAATAGAGTCAAAGGTAAGTATAACTTGTGAACTTCCTTAGAGTCTTTACAAAAAGGGTTAATTGCACATGATCCCCTGAAGTATCCCTGCTTTGAACTTACTATCCCAGTAGTTTTATTTTTGCAGTTGGACCCCCTGAATGAATTTATTTTCTATTCTTTTCCCCACAGTTAGACTCACAAATTTCATGTAGGCAATATCTTCCAAAATTTCTCCCAGGGTACAAGTGTCAGAAGAATTTAACCAAGGGGGTCTGTCTGTAAAAAACTACGGGGATAGTACGTTAAAAAAATGACATTGCGGGGGATCTGTGTGCAATTAACCCTTACATAAAAATTGTTGTTTATTATTACCAGGCTGGCGTTCGACGCTTCTCTTTTGTGTTTGATTCATCACCAGCATATCTGTCAGAATTGTTTGAGTACTTATATGTGGGCGGAAAATAAATCCTCCCTTCATTCCATCCCTCAAAGACTCGACCGCACCTTTGTTCTATTCGAAGCTGCTCATAATTAAAGAAGTTTTGTGTTGATCCATGGTATGCCATTAGGTAAGTAAAGAAGAAAGAATCATTGCTTTTTTTTTTCAGTCTACAAGATACCAATCTCAAAGAGATAAAGCGGAGAAAGAAAAGCATGATAGAAAGGCAAGGATTATCTATAGCACAAGATAGCACACTTCAAGGTTAAGAAAAACAAGTGAAAGTATGTTGAGAGTAGGAAAATTACCTGGTCTTTTTCTAGTAATGCCCTCCAATTATGCATTTCGACTAGGGCTTTAGCAGAGCGATAAGAGAGAGCAATACGGTAGTTCAAATCCCCCAGCCAAATTATTCGACTAAAAACAAGATAAGAAAGTACATCAGAGTGGTCAAAAGTATGATCGTTTTAAAAGGACATTTGATGCATAAGTTGAGAAGATTCACACAAGATAACCAAAAGTGTTAACAGCCATTCATCAACTGTTAATTTTTTTTAATTTTATGATTTTGCATCAAATTACGCCAGACAAACTACCACAACATAGAGGGTAGAAGCCTAGGAAGCCATTTTTTTCGAGTAGATTTATCTAAATTAATTACCAGAGAAGTTTTAACAAAATTAATCTACAAAATGGTTCTTACTCATGATCAAGGATTGTCTCAGGAGATCTCTCATCACCTAGCCCATGAATCCTTGGAAACCTGGTCTTCCTCAGTATCTCCATTACATCAGAGTTCCTCCTCAGCTCATCGCCGTCCTTCTGTCCTGAGGTCAAATGGCTGCAGATGAAGCAGAAGCTTGTTTGGTGCAGAGACATGCTAATCGAAATCGAACCCTGAAACAGACAAATTAAGTTGCTTCTCTTGATTCTTGGCATAAAACTCACCTAATGAAAATGTCTGATAAAATCATGTGTCGATAAAATCTTGAAAAGTACCTTGTTTCCAAGATAACCCATCAACCCTCTTCCAACACAAGAGACCTTCAAGTTCCTAACATCATCTCTAATTTCACTTCGTGCCCAAATTGTGAGAAATATCCCAACCATTTGCTTACTTGCAACTAGACAATACCTATCATACAACATTAAAGAATTAAGGAACTGTTCAACAAAGCAAAATCTTTATGTAAATAATGAAAGAAGCCACCTAAGGGAATACCGTGAGAGTCCTGATAATCTAGCTCTTTCTTCCATCGATGAAGCACCATAACCATAAGACATTGGTGAGAAAAAAACAGTGCTTGGTGAGTCCCCGCTAATTTTCTCATCGTCAGATGACCCGCCCCATCTATAATTTGCATCATAATCACTAGGACGACTCCCATATATAACTCGTTCACATACACTATATCTACGTTCAAGCCTTGGTTGAGGTGCAATGACATCATCATCCATTCTCATGCTACGGTTTAGAGATTGAAAGGAACGACGGTGGAAAAAAGATGAGTTCCTCTTGTGCGATGATGAGGCACCCTCAAAGTCATCATCAAGCTCCACAACTGGATTGGGAGCAGGTGAAGGTGTGTAGTTGCTCCCAATATTACCACTAGAGCCTGCTAGATTGTTGAGTGTTCTTCTTACGAGCGATATCCATTTCTTTGCAGGGCCGTTGTCTTCAGCTCCAAGAACATTGCCAGCATTCAAGGGTACTATCTCTTGAAACCTGTTTGAAACAACAAAGGAACGAATTGATTTTGGCTTAACTAGATTGTTCATAGGGTAATTAGTTGGTTGGGACTTAGAAAATTTGCTCCAATTAAATTTTATTTACCCCAATACATATATATCAGCGGGAGGAGACGTTTGGAGCCAATCATCGAGATTCAAGTGATTTGGAGGGCATTTGCCTCCTACATTCCATGTTGCAACAAAGATCCTACTCACCAAAAATAGAAGAAAAAACCAATATTTATATGATTTTTTTTACCAATAAACGGTAAATATACCCCCCCCCACCTCCCAAAAAAAAATACAAACCCAAACCAACCAAAAAACATTATTATGAAAAGTTTGTGAAATATATCGCAGCGTAAGTAAAAAAAAAGGATGTTCCCCAAATCTACAGAGAACATAATGAAAAGAATTTTTTCATGCTGGGAGGATGTCATAAGGATCCACCTAAGACAAAATGCCCAACATAATGTTTTATTAATATATTATATATTATATATATTATATATATATATATAACTATATATTATATTCTAAGGAGCCACTCTGAGGATTGCAATCTAAAGAATGCACGTCTCAATTATATGCGTTGAGCTAATTTCAGATGGCACGATCCACTCCATTCATCATGATTAAATGCTTAAACCATCTATAAAATAAAAATTATGATGTTTCATATTTCTAACACATATTTTTTATTGTCTCTTTAGTTATGTTGTTGTAAAACCGTTAATTTTACTATCACTTGATGCATTAGTAACTACAACCCAATATGCTAATTTTTGGTTTATATGCCATCCAAATCATTTAGATCAAAATGAACGGAGTGGATCAATTAAATTTATTGCGTATGATATAATTTTGAAGGTGCATCCTTAGATTCAATCTAGGGTGGCTCCGTATGTATGTATGTATATATATATATATATATATATATATATATATATATATAAACACACACACACACACACACATACATACTATGTGTGTGTGTGTGTGTATGAGTATCAAGGGTTTATTACCTATATTCTTGAGTGTTTGTGACTTGGGCTGCATCACAATCGATCTTTCCTCGTCGAGCTCGATCAGAGTTGTTCTTGAACAATCTATCTGAGGGACCAATATATGGAAAAGTAAATGAAATGAGAAAGAAGTAAGTTTAAAAAGAAGAGGTAAAAGAAAGAAAGAGGAAGACATGTTTCAAAGTGGTCCAAAGGAATGTGAGACTATATAACCTGTCTTCTTTTTCTTGACTGTGGATACCTCTCTCTCTGAGAAGCTGTTCCTCCAATCCCCATCAACACCTGGAAAAAGAGCAAGCATTTCAAAGAAAAAAGAAAGAAAAAGGAAGTTAAAAGAAATTCTTTTGCTGAAACATGCGCATGAATTCAAATGGTAGAATGGTCACAAAATAAATTGTGGAAGTTACGAAACTAATGCGCATTAGATTCAGAACTCTTAGAAGAAAGAAGGTACAAATGTAGAGTACAATGTACCATTTTCCGATCCTGTTACAGGACCTAGGAGATAAAATTTCGATCCTAAATACCAAGAGAAAAAGGAAATCATAACTGCTAAAAGAGAGGAAAAACATATTTCATGCAAGTATAATAGCAGGCTGGTAATTTCAAAGATTGGAGACGAAAGATAAGGATCCTATTAACAAGGAGACATCGCAAGCAAAAAATTTAGAAGCGCTTAGATACCTAACCAACAGTAAAATATACAAAGTCAAGATGAAGAAGTGAAAATAAAGTATTGCAAATGATTGAAGCTCACCTCTGCCAACTATATCATCTGAATGGAAATCTTGAGCTTTGCCCTTGATATTGAACCATTTCCTAATTAGAGACTTAGACCATGAGAGCTTCTCTCACACAAACGAGATAAAGTCAGCAAATTCAGAACGATAAGGATAAAAAATTATGAGCATAACGCAATGCAAGTAGGAAAAATAAATATGAATTATCTCAACAAACCTTGCTTTTCTTTGAACTCTCATCTCTCATTGTTCCAAGTCCTCTCCCCAACAACACTTCAGGAATCTAAATACTGTTTGGATTGAAATTGAATCATGATGGAGCTAATAATAGACCTGAATAATTAATGGGTTTTGCCTAAGAAAACCAAAGTTTTCACTCGTTCGGGGGAAGTTGGCTCCCCGGCTCCATTCCCCGATTGGGTTTCGGGTTTGAGAAAAAACCCAACTCCTATAATTGATAAATTGGGATAGCTTTGAGTTACGCTAAGCAACCTTAACAGTAATGACCCATGAAAAGAGAGGGAGGGAGGGAGGGAGGGAGGGGGGAGGAGGGAGGAGGGAGGAGGAGGAGGAGGAGGGAGTAGTATCTCTTTCAAATCCTCATCCTATGTTGCACATCAAATCGTCCAAGTTTGAAAAGAATAAAGTCTACTCCTCATTTTGGTTAACTTTTACCCCAAATCGTAGGCCAAGCCAAAACAGGGCATTGGATGTAGAAACCCAACTCAAGAATTAATTTTGAACTTAAGAAAGGGTGGAAAAAGACAGGAGCTGCCAGTACTCAAACCATATTGCACAATCTGCAGTTAACTACCCCTGAGTCCTGAACCAGCTGCCTCAGCTGATTAGTTCGCTGTATAGTTGTACCGCTTTCCCTCTGGTCTTTGGCGCATTTCCCACTGCGACTTTGGCGCATTTCCACAAAACCCCGTCAGCATTGCTTATTCTCACATAACTCTTTATACTGCTAAAATTGTCTCACTTGCAATAACAACGACGACGACGACAACAACAACAACAGTAAAATATTTATTCTAAATGTTCGGGGTCGGCTACATGGATTATATAGTTTTTCTGATCTATTATGGATCATCTCCTTCGTTACGTTAACGGTTATCATATCCTTCTTAATTGCTCTCCACCAAGTTATTTTAGGTCTATCTCTAGATCTTTTTATCCCATCAAATGTAATATTATCACTTTTTCTATCCGCTACACTAAGAGGTCTCCATTGTACATAACCAAACTATCATAATCGAAAATTTTTCATTTTATTCTCAATAAAGTAACATCTAACTTACTACGAATGTTCTTATTTCTTATCTGATCTTTTAGTGTATACCCACAAAACCATTACATTGTTTCAATCCATAAAGCATTGTTGGTGTTATAACCACCCTATCAAATTTTTCTTTCATGTAAGCATACAGTAATGGAAAATGGTTTAATCTTTCTTTTATTTGTTCTTATCCTAGTTGCTATTCTATTATACATATCTTTAGTCATATGAATATATATATTAGATATATGTTTCTTTTCTAAAACCCACCACATATCATAATCTTTTTTAGATTAATGAAGACCGTGTGTATATCCTTTTTCTTCTCTCTATATCTCTTCATCAAATGTTTCAATAATATGAATAGGCTTCATTGAACTCCCAGCTATAAAACCAAATTGGTATTTAAATATACTTGTCTCATTTTTTTAGTCTTTGGTCAATTACCTTCTCCCGAAGTTTCATAGAACTCATCTAGTCCTCTATACTTAAAGAAGAATCCAAAGAATCAATGTTTATGCTACAACAATGCTATAATAAAAACTGTAGCACGAACAATGAATCAAGTCTGGCCCTCTGCCCTCGAAGTTATTGTTCTTGGTATAGTAATTTACTGTAGCATAAACAATAAATTAAATCTGCCTCTCCATGCTTGAAGTTACTATTCATGCTACAGTAATTTACTGTATCATAAGTAGTGTAGTAAATTAAATGTATTAAAACTTGGATTTTTTTTTAAGTATAGAGAAATAGATATGATTTCAAAATAAAATATAGGGTTATGTAGGACACAACAAAGTTTAACGAGTTTAATGGTATAAACGATGTGTGTGGTGTGGTCGTTCTGAGGTGGGTTTATTATTATTTTAGGAGGGGAGGGGGAGGAATTGAAAGTATAGAGGTTTATGTAGGACACATCAAAGTCTAGCAAGTTATAAATGAAGTTTAGGTCAGTTAGATTGAAAAGACCCCAAAGTTTAGGTTGGTTTTTTGAATTCAGCCAAAGGACCACAATGTTCATCTATTGAAAATCAATATGGGGATTGAGCAGATAAACTGTTGTGCGCAGCGGAAATTTCGGTAGAGTTTTTGGTGCATAATAATAGAGAAAGATCAATAAGAATTCTTGTTTCTCAAAGGGAACAAGAATCTGAAGCCTAATATCTCATCAAAGAGAAAGATCAATAAGAATTCTTGTTTCTCAAAGGGAACAAGAATCTGAAGCCTAATATCTCATCAAAGTGGGATATTAAATCTGAAGCCTAATATCTCATCAAAGTGGGATATTAGCTCTTCCTCTCGTCAGCTCTAGGACTGCGCGCCGAGGGATCCTAAAAAAACTATTACAATGCCACAAACTCAAACAAACCAATTTACGTGGTTCGGCAAACTGCCTACGTCCACGGGGTAAGGAAGGGGGGATCTACTATTAGAGAGAAAACACAATAGGTTTACAATCTCACAAACTAAACCCTCAAACTAACTCTCTAATCTCTCACAAAAACAGCCACCAAATAGGATTTTTCTCCTCTGCACGAAGCCCAAAAAAAACTCAGCCGCCTTTTTCTCTTTCTCCCCTCTGCCTCCACACACAAACCTAGGGAGAAATCTGAAAAAAAACTCAGCCGCCTTTTTCTCTTTCTCCCCTCTGCCTCCACACACAAACCTAGGGAGAAATCTGCTATATATAGTTGCGTGACTTAAACAATCGGGTGGGCCATCTAAATATCCAGGAGACCAAAGCTTTGCCTCCAGCTGCCCACGCGCTTTGCTCTGTTCACGCGCTTGCAAATTTGCCCGGCTGTCATCCGCGTGCTTGGCTTGGCTTCGTCCGCGTACTTGCCTCACGTGGGGCGTGCTCACGTGCTTCAACCAATCACAATTCTCCACCTCGGCGAAGTTTTTCCCAAAACATAGCCGACACCAAAGCAACCAAAAGTCCCACTTGTTGTGTCCAGTACGAACTCAATCCACAACAAGTCGAGAACCCGAACGAGAGTCCAAACAATCTCAACCCCCCATCAAAATCCAACCCGGCTGCATCATAAAGACTGCCTACGTATCCTCTTGCCCAAGGAATCAAGCCGAACGTAGTTCGCCCAAATGTCCGCGAACGACCTCAAACGAATAGAAGAGTTCGCAACCCTTCTCCAATACCATCTACTCTGCGGCTGATAGCACCTCCAATGGTCTCAAACACCTCCACCTGAGGTAAACCAATGATCATATCCAAACTATGTCTACCAGCTGCATTCGAATCAAAATCTAACTCATCATTTGCACCCAAATCCAAATGATCCCCAAGCTGTGTCACCTCAGCTAGAATCCTAAATGATACAGTATGATCTGGAGTAATCTTCACCCAATGTGGAGTAGTATCACTCTCCACCTACTGCGATACCTCTAAGGTCTGTCCAAAATTCTCCACCTGCTGAGAGCCAATTGGCTTCCTCATCGAAGCCTCAACCAAAGTGACACTAGCAGACCTATCTTCCAATAGAGTTTTACCTCCAATCATAGCAGTTGACAACTCTTTAATAGGATGACTCAAATATGTCGAAGCCTCAATCTAGAACCTCTTCTGCAAACCATTGCTCGACCACAAACACCGATCCTCCTCCAGCAAGGCACGGTTCTCCAAATTTGTCACCCTATCTAGCTGCCCCAAGATTTCCTTTCTAACGAAGTCTCTCGCAATGCCGTGAGCTCGGCTCCAATACAGAAACAGGTCCATCTTGTATCTCCCACCCAAACTAGAGTGAAGTACCTTCACCTTTCTGCCAATATCACACTTCTTCAATCTGTTGGAGACTACTAGGACTTTATCCAAATGGGATTTGGTTGCAACCTAAACACGCCTAGAACAGTCACCAACAAAAGGAAACCAAACTTCGATTACCTCCCAATGATGCCCCCTTGGAAGGCCCCCAAACATCCACATGAACTCCTCCAGAACGGCCCTTAACTCGGTGAAAAAAGGTGTCAAACTTCACCTCGGTCTTCTTGCTCACATCAACATGTTCACTGGACTTTAAATTGCAGGTCTTTACACCCTCTTTCAATCTATGCGAGTAATCAATACTGGAATGACCAAGCCCCAAATGCCGCAGTCTAGTCGAATCAATAGAAGTCGCCAGCTCTCCACCTGTCACTATACCTCCAGTCAAGTAATACAGGTTATTCCTCCTGACACACCCTTCATCATAATCTGAGAGTCTTTCACAATCTTGAGAACCATATCCTCAATTCGAACATTCAGACCCTCTCCAACCAAAGTTCCAATCGAGATCAAGTTTTTTCTCAAAGAAGGAACATATCTCACATCATTCAACTCCCTAACAATCCCGTCAAATAATTTTATGCGAATTCTTCCTATCCCACGGATCTGACATGCACGGTTATCAGCCATGTACACCACACCACTATCCAGCTTCTCAAAACTGGAGAACCATTCCCTTCTAGGGCACACATGATAGGTCGCACCACTATCCAACATCCATTCGGATTCCTCCGAATAGCTATCTGTAGGACTGATAGAAAGCGAATAAATAGAAGAGTCGGAATTTTTACCTTCCGATACGATGTTTGCTTCTGATGATGGTTGCTTCCCTTTTCCCTTCTGCTTATTCTTCATCCATCCGTCGAGCTTTGGGCAGTTTTTTTTTCTAATGATCAGTCTCCTTGCACCAAGCACACTAATCTTTTCCAATTGTAGGATGCCCTACTCTAGATTGTGACCTCCAATTCTTCCGGTTCGGACCCTTCCCTCTTGCGGCCAACGCCTCTGCTACCGGCTCAACTGAAGCCTCCTTATCCTTCTTTCGAAGCTGATAGTTCACAAGTGCAGCAGTCACCTCACTATACGAAAGAGATGCCTTCCCATTAATCAGAGTAAGAACGAAGGTCTCATATTCCTCGTCTGGTAAGGAACTCAACAATAGCAACGCCTTGTCCTCATCTTCAATCTTGACATCCACATTCGCCAAATTCGCAAGAAGCTTTGTGTAGGTGTTCATGTGATCACTAATTGAGGTTCCCTTCTTCAACTGGAAACGATAAAGTCTCATCTTCAAATGCAAGCGGTTCTCAATACTCTTTGTCAGATACTTACTTTCGAGAATCTTCCAAATCTTCTTCGCAGAAGTCTCATTCATCACATCATATTTTAGATCTTGAGTCAAACAAGACCTAATCACACCACACGCTGTTCGATTCATCTTCTTCCAAACCTTCTCTTCAATCTCA